AGTCCGGCTGACGACTGTCATACGTAGCCAAGAGGGATGCTGCCTTTGAGTGCAACATCTGCAATAAGTGGTGGCACAGTCAGTGTGATCAGGACATACGAGACCAATATTACACCCTCAGGGCGCACTGCCCATACGCGTGGTTCTGGTACATCTGCCGCAGTGTCGTATACGGCCACTCTTTTCTAAAGGCTCGCTGGTGGAGGTCGTAAAAGACACCGCAGTGACTACTGTGATGCCAGCATCCACACAGACCACTACCTCGGGCCCAAGCAGCAAGAGTGTCAGCGCTGCACCCCGGCCAGTCACACCGGCAAACAGTCCAAAAAGACCAAAACGACGACCGGGTACGCGACCAACCACACTAGTCCCTAATCCTGAAGCCACTTTAACGGCTAACCCCACTTTACAACGGGAAAGATGGCTGACAGTGGAAAAGAAGGTGCGCCCTTCCCACAAAAACCACCCACAGTACATGAAAGTGGAGAAGCTGATGACAGATCGGATCCCATCATTTTATTTAACGTCCCTGTGTGCCATGGTAGCTTCTTTGAGAGTAGAGAATCTTTTGACAAGCGGCAATGGGAAACCGTATGCACCATACTAGGGCTGGGTAGCCTAGAAGCAAAGCTGTGCCGGCTCTACAAAGGCATCTACTCACCTCATGGGAAGCCTCCGCCGATGAGAGTGACTCTAAGCTCAGCCAGAGAAACGGAAAGATTCTTGCTGATGTCACTTACACTAGTCATCAGCAGCACCCTGGTTGGTGGCTGTTAACTTAGGCTGTCAAGAACTTTTAACCAGTGTGCTGCAAACTAGGTACACAGTAAAAAATAACATCATCGGGAATGTTCGCTGCTGTGAAAGCAGGCCTAGGACACTGCGACAACAGCAAATGGTAGCACCGCCCAGTGCTGAAGTCACCATCACTATCAACAGGCAAGATGCACGATCAAGCCTGGACCCTGTGAAACCCCCAGAAACCATTGTGGGAACGAACGCGATTGGGCCGACTCCACTGGAGCTGGCCGTCCCATGGCAAGTTTTTCCACTACGCACGACTCCCTCCAGTCTACCAGCACCAAGATACCCCATGTCGTCAGAAACATAGCCAAGGGTCTTTACAGTAATGTGAGGGGACTTAGAAGTAAGATGGCGGAATTACGATTTCTGTGTTCCTACCTTGCTCCAACGATCATAATCCTGACAGAAACTTGGTTATCACCGGACGCTGACGACGTCGAAACTAGTATAGACGGTATGTGTCTATTCAGGAGAGACAGGGAGTTTACGGAAGGAGGCGGAGTGGCGATGCTTGAGTGATAACCTTAAAAGTGAACGAACGACTGAAACTCTACTTTCAGGGCTCCCAGACTCCATCTGGTGCCAATTTAAGGTTGGACTTACCAAGCACCTGGCAGGAGGTGTCTGCAGAACACCTACCAGCAGCGTGAAAGATAACCGACGACTGCTGCAAGTAATGTCTCGAGCGACGTCCATCGGATATGACCAGGTCATTATGACCGGCGACTTTATTGCTCCGACTCTCAATCTTGGGCAGGATAGGGGAACCTTAAGCCGAAGGTTCGACCGAAACTTACTCAACACTATCAAAAAGGCCGAGCTGCGCGAGAATATTGGTGATGACACTAGCTAGTAGTCGGGCGGAAGGCCATCCAAACTGGAGTACCTTTTTACCAGTGACCCACTGCTGGTAGAAAATGTACAGGTTCAAACCCCCCTCGACAGCAGCGATCACGACGTGGTAGTGTTCGATCTGGTACTCAACGAACAGCTGTTATGGGAGGGATCTCTTCCTTGTCTTCGCTACAGCAAAGAGAACTACGTGGCGGTGAACCAATACCTGTCGACAGCACCATGGCCGCAAGAGTGGAGCAGCCTGTCGATTGACCAACATTGGGAACTAGTCAGAGATATCATCAAGAGGGCTGCCTCTGAAAACGTCTCAGTAATCACAGCAATACCACGGAAGCGAACCTCATGGCTGAAGCGAGGCACTGAACGCCTTTTGAAAGACAAGAGGAAGGCATGGCACAAGTGAAGGACCTCCAGAAAAGAGTCTGACCACACCGTGTATATTGCCCTAAGAAATCGATGTAACATTGGAGTGGGGGAAGACAGGAGGTCATTCCAGACGAACCTTGCCCGAAAGCTCGAGGCAAATGCTAAAAACCTATATCGGTTTATGGTAGGCAGAAAATCCGCCAGCCAGAGGGCTTGAGTCCTGAAAGGCCTAGACGGAGAGAACCTCTCCGGACTAGAGATCGCCAAAGCCTTTACCGCCACCTTCGATGCGCAACTCAATACGTCCCCATCGAACCAAAATTACCAACTGTCCGACCAGCATTCAGCACCACAAAATGCAGTAGAGTTACCTGGAATTAAGGTAACTCCTGCCATGGTCCTTGAAAAACTGCCGGGGCTCCGCGCAGAGAAATCACCAGGGTGTGATGACATCCTACCGGCTGTGTTGAAACAATGCCCGGGTGCCTTGTGCGGTCCGCTGCGTAACTTCTTTCAGCACTCTTTAGGCAACCACATGCTTCCGCAAGAGTGGAAAGGTGCCATTCTGTCCCCCATCTACAAAGGTGGAGACAGACAAAACCCAAAACGCTACCGACCCATGGCCGTCCTATCAGCGGTGTCAAAAGTAATGGAGAGTCTGGTAGACGACCATATCAGGGAGTACTTAGGAAAGATGGGAGCACTTAGTGATGCTCAACATGTTTCCAGAAAGGGTAGGTCCTGTGCCACAAACATTCTGGCGGCAGGTGATAAGTGGACGGTATGCTGGGACCTCCAAATTCCTGTCCATGTTTTTTTCCTGGATTTTGCCAAGGCCTTCGACACAGTTCCACACGCCGTTCTTATTCACAAAACAGAAAGGTTGGGCATCAGGGGACAAGTGCTTTCATGGTTGCAGGACTATCTTGGCGGTAGACATTTCTGCACAAAAGCCAGCAGAGTTTGCTCGGCTTGGAGAACATCATCTTGTGGTGTATCACAAGGGCGATTCTGGGTCCACTGCCACTCCTTCTTTTTGGGAACGACCTCCCACTGAATCTCAGCTCCCCAATTCAACTCCGCGCTGATGATGTTGAGCTATGGAGAGCTGACGTCAGAAACGGAATCAAGTGCACCGCAAAGTGATCTCAGATTACTTTCAGGGTTAGTGGATATTAATGGACTTGCATTTAACCTAGATAAATGCCGAGCCACGTTTCTCCGCACCCCAGACTCTCAGAAGGTACCTTATTCCCTCTGTAGAACACAATTTTCCCACACCACCACAGAGAAAGACCCATGACTTACACTAACTGACAAACTAGACATTAGCACCAATTACCCAGGAGATGCCTCCAGAGCCTACGCGGTACTGCACTTCATGCGCAGACAGTTGGGTGCCCTGACCTCGGAACTCTTTTTGAAGCTGCAGAAGACCTATATACGACCCAACCTAGAGGTAAACAACATCATTGCACCACCATATCTGAAAAAAGACGTGAACCTCCTAGAGAAAGTCCAAAGGCGAGCTACAAAGGATGTCGTGGGAATGAGGCGAAAGCTATATCAAGACAGGCTGAAAGATCTAAAGCTCTACTCTCTAAGCTACAGTAGATTACGTGGTGACTTGATAACGGCTTACAAAATACTAAGTAACCCAAGTCACCCGGACAGTGAGGTCTTACCGAACAGCCACTGTGGCGATCCTCGTGGTAACCCGGGGAGAATCGCCCACAAAAGGGAAGAAACTCGTGTGCGGTCACACTTCTTCTCTCTGCAAGTTTGTGGCCACTGGAACTCATTGTCTGCCGAGCTTGCTACTGCTCCATCTGTTGACAGCTTCAAGATGAGGTTGGACAGTTACTCAGTGATGAACGGTTTGCACTCATCCACCTGGGATGTGGACTAGGCTGACACGACGTACTAACTCGGTACGACCAACCGTTACCAAACACTTTGTTAAACCACTACCACTGAGAACTTGGCTCAACCTCATACCTTCCCGTAGACGTCCCCTTCAGTTACAGTCTCCTGCTAAAAGAATTACTATATTCCCATTCGTCCTATCATGTTATTTCTTTTTCTTCCTTCCAACTTTACGCTCTCAAACTTTAACAAAAGCTCTCCCTATCACCTATTCCCCGTGAACCTACTAATGTTCCTTCTTCCATGCCTTTTCCTTTTTATTAATCTTTTTTTAATCTATTATTTTTCTTCCTTTTTTCCTTTTCTTTTCCTACTTTGTCTCTCTCTGCACTTTCTCTTCCTTGATTTCTCCGCACAACTTCTCCATCTCCTTTTTACAACCAGTCCGACCAACTGTCTGTTGGCACGACATCTGAGGAACCCATTTGCACCCTAGTCCTCGGAAGAAAAAGCAAACAAACAAACAACACTCCCTACAAATCTAACCAAAACCCAACCCAACGTCGGGCTAGCCACAGCTACATTCCTCTTGTCCCGTGACCCCAACCACCCAGTCTGCATCGTCCTACATGCTTAAACACAGTCGGAGACTTCATACATTGGTGCCAGTTTTAGTCTGGCCACCTCGGGCCTTTTTCCAGCCTGAACCCTCAGCCATTGGTGACGAGGCAATCGGTGACTAGGCATACGTAGTACGTGTCCCAACCATCTCAGTCGATGAAGGTCACAACCTCTCTCCCAAACTGCAGCCGAGTGAGTAGACCTGCTGCGTTAGAATCCACCAAAGACCTGGAACCGTTCCCCAAGACCTAGAAGCGAGAGCGAAGAAATCAATTGGTTTACAGTAGCTCGTTACAAGATATTGGATACTCTGATACTTATCCGCATTAAGCCGACTACGAACACCATTTAACTCATGTCATACTAGCCACATAACTCAGAAACATGGTTTCTGCATGCCGAAGCAGATTTTCGAGAACGAGGAATTGCAGATCCTCAATATTGGTTTCTTGTTGTCAATTCCACTACCGCGGGAATTAAACAGGTATGTTACAACGCGTATGTTTGGTTCTGAAGTAAGTGGTTCCTCCGCACTTCTCAAAGCCGCACTGCTGAAGAAAAGTAATCTTACAGATCATCAGCGTTTAGAAGAATGGCTTCGTAACATTCAGCTAGGCAGCAACTCAGCTACTGAAGACCTCGTACGCATGCAATAATTTATGGGCACACGAACGTTCGATAATGGCCTTTCCCGAGAATTGCTCCTCTCGAAACTACCACAACGAGTGCAAACCGTGTTAGTCATACTTCAGTCAGTCCCACTGGATGACCTGGCAGCCTGAGTCGATAAAATACTGGATATCTCTAGCAGACCTGTCTTCAACTTATATTCGGTCTGCGATAATCCCGAGAGTCCAGGATTCAGGAGTGACCAAACTGTGCAACTCTGTTAAGCAGATGCTACAAAATCGAAGCCCTAGGCTACGTAGCACCACATAAACGTGTCTCAGCCCATCGCATCAACTCGTGTGGTCATACAAAAACTAAACCTAACAGGGTGGAAAACCCCAAATGGTGCTGGTTTCACAATACCTACGGAGACGAAGCCAGAAAATGCCGGAAGCCATGCAGTTTCAACATGGACACAAACTCGAGAAACTGTCACATAGGCACGCGTTCACGTCAACCGTAGCCGGCGGAAACAGCCGTTTGCTTTACGTCACAGATTTAAAAACGAAAGTTCGCTATCTCGTTGACACCGGCGCAGAAGTTAGCGTCCTTCCTGCACCGCCAAAGGAGCGTTGTCATGGCCCATCCTTCAATCTTCAAACAGTTAACGGCAGGACAATCGCAGCATTCGGGAGACGGTATGCCTACCTCAACTTGGGTTTACGTAAACCTATTCACTGGGTTTTCCTCCTAGCTGGTGTTTCTATGCCCATCATTGGCATAGATTCGCTGGACCATTACGACCTACCTGTAGATGCTCGTCGTCGACGACTAATAGATAACAACACAAAGTTATCTATTGGCGGCACCACCTACGAAAGTCCGAGTTTAGCCATCGTTGGCACTAAACAACCAGGCGACATGTCTTATCAGGGAGTGTTTGGGAAATATCCTGAGTTACAACAACCGAAGCATACTCTTCCGTGCATAACCAGCAATGTTATGAATCACGCCACAACCATAGGTCCACCTGTGGCATCCAAAGTACCCCGTCTAGCTCAGAACGGCGAAAAGTGAATTGGACCACATGCTCGAACTGGGTATTTTCAAACCTTTATGTAGTCCTTGGGCATCACCATTACATATGGTTCCCAAAAATGATAGCAACGATTGAGGTCCAACCGGTAATTACCGAAGGCTTAACGTCAAAACAACACTGGACTGCCACCCGATACCTCATGCTTACGACTTGGCTGCGACGTTATGCGAAATAAGCATCTTCTCCAAAACCGACTTGGTCAGAGCGTACAATCAGATACCCATGGCAGCAGAAGATATTGCGAAAACAGCCATTATTGCTCCTTTTGGTTTGTTTGCATTCCTGCGTATGCTATTTGGTCTTCGGAATGCAGCACAAACATACCAACGCTCATGGATGACGTTTTCTGTGGTTTAGATTTTGTCCATGTCCACATCGATGACTGTCTCATTGCGAGTCCAGATAAGGAAACTCATCTTAAACAATTGGTCCTTGTATTCAGTAGACTGAGAAAACATGGCATCACAGTCAACTTACAGAAATGTGAAATAGGAGTTGAGTCACTCAGCTTCCTTGGGTATACCAATGACAACAAAGGTATACGCCCATTGAGAGGTGACGTAGTGGCTATCACGAACTATCCAGAGCCGACCACTGTGAAGCAGCTCCGCACTTTCAATGGCCTGGTAAGTTATTATCGGAGGATTATCCCCAGCTGTGCCTCCACCATGAGACCACTCACAGATCTACTTCGAAGGACTTTGAAGTGCGTGACTCTGGACAACGTGGCTAGACTTGCTTTCTCTAAAGTCAAGGAAGCCATTTCAAACGCAACCATGCTTATGCATCATGACCGAAAGCTCCTTTGAGTATTACTGTTGATGCATCTGACTCAGCAATTGGAGCAGTTTTGCAACAGTTGACTGACGACCAGTGGCAACCGTTAGCCTTTTTCTCGAGGCGGCTGCAAGACGCGGAAACAAGATACAGTACATTTGGTAGGGAACTCCTAGCTATGTACTGTTCTGTACGCCATTTTCGACATTCTGTGGAAGGTCGTGATTTCATTATTTTCACAGACCACAAACCGTTAACCTTTTCTCTAGCTCGGCGTCTGACAAATACTCCCCTCGTGAGTCACGACTACTGGATTACATTTCCCAGTTCACGTCAGACATCCGCCACATTTCTAGAGCAAATAACTCAGTATTCGATGCACTATCTCGAATAGCTTCCATAAACCATATCGAGGGTGTTGATCTCGTTGAACTAGCTTGGTGTCAGAAAAAGACCTTGAGCTGCACCATGAGTTGTCCACAACTCTCAAGCTACAACTGTGTCCAGTAGGAGCAGGCAAGGATACAATTTTATGCGATGTCTCTGCTAGTTAACCACGCCCATTAGTTCCGAAGAGATGTCTTCAATACGTTGCACAAATTGTCCCGTCCAGGTGTACGAGCCACCACCGGGCTTGTTGCGCAACGTTTCTGCTGGCCGGGAATGAACAAAGACGTTAAGGAGTGGGCTCAGTTGTGCTTAGCTTGTCAGAAGTGTAAAGTCACGCGACAGATGAAAAGCCCTTTAGGTTCTTTTCTAGCCCCAGATATGCGTTTCGACCACGTCCATATAGACATTGTAGGACCTCTACCTCTATCTAATGGATGTACTTACCTTTTCACCTGTGTGGATCATCTTACGCGATTGCCAGAAACAGTACCTATTATTGATATTACTGCTGAAACTGTTGCTTGCGTTTTCGTTGAAAGATGGATCGCGAACTTTGGATGTCCATCTTACGTAACAACTTACCGTGGCGCCAATTCGAGTGTGGATTATATCACGCTTTAACTGCACTTTTAGGTTGCACACGGTTCCGAACGACAGCCTACCATCCACAAGCAAATGTCATGGTAGAGCGTTTCAGCTGCAAACATACCTCAGTAGACCAAGGCTCTGCCTCTAGTCCTACTAGGTATTCGCAACGCGTTGAAAGCTTATGTTGGATGCACCTCTGCAGAACTCGTCTATGGGACTACTCTTCACCTACCAGGTGAGTTTGTTTCCCCTTCAATTTTCAAACATGTTTGCGACAGGGCATCTTACGTGACTAGGCTTACAAACGCAATGCGTTCAGCTAGGCCTTCTCCGGTTAGACCTCAAACGACTGACGTCTTCGTTCACCCCGTTTTAAAAACGACATCGCACGTGTTCATTCGCCACGATGCCATTCGTCGACCACTTTGACCACGATGGACCATTCAAAGTGATTAAGCGGCACAAGAAATTCTATAGAATCGGGCGAAGCAGGCGTGAAGATACTGTTAGTATCAATCGTTTGTAACCAGCTTATTCCGAAGGCAGCCGCATCATAAGTGACGTTTCACCTCACTATAGTCAACCGGCGGATGGCCCAATTATCGAAATTCTAGACTATATGCCTGGTATCTGGAAATACACAGTTACAACAACCACCGGCGCAACGAAAAACATGATCAGGTCGAACCGTCAGTTTCCCGGGGTATTTAAAGTCATATTCAGTTAAGTAGTGTGAAATAAAATGTGCTACCATTTTTTACTCAAAATTATTTTTTTCGGGGCACCATTTTTTTATTTACTGGGAACGCGAAAATCCTCCTTTTTATACCAATTTTCTTACTACCACTTAATGGAACTTTTTCAAAAAATGGAAATAAGCATAAAATCTATTTTCGATATATTCATATATAGATGTTTCCCATTTTTACGAAACGTTTTCGTGGTATTAAAGACTTTTCTTTATATTCCAGGTGCAACGAGCACTGAACGGAACGTCAAAGGACACTGAGGACCGCGATCGACCTACAATTCAATTTATTGTATTTTATTTTTCATTTGCCATGACACCCTAGAATATGTCCAGACAACCAGGGGCCACTTCTCGCAGTGAGCCCATCGGAAGAGTCTTACCAATGAAGAAACCATTAAGTTTTTACTTCCGGCTGGTATTGTCTTGGGGTCCTCACGAACCCATTAGGGGTGGGGAGTGGTCTGTAGCGTCACACTTCTCCAGAATCAACTGCCTAAGGTTCGACGACATTGAACACTGATGCTGACCTTCATAGTTTAACTGAACTCGCTAAGCTGAAGGCACCCGGTCAAGCATCCTCACCATTTGGCAAGCTGTCTTGTTACGTTGCACTGCTCGCAATCGGCTCTCCAGCCAGTTAGTTGGAACGCATCGGTATCTTGGCCGGTTCTCGCAAATATACTATTCCATCCGACTACTTTGTTGTCTTCTTTCTCGGTTTCGTATTTGTGGGTATATAACAAGTTCGAATAATTGGTGATTGGCCTCTGGGTCTGTCAAGTTTGCATCGGGACAATTCCTAAAATAGCAATGGTAATTTTGATGTCAAATACCAACATCAAAAAACATTTCGAAAAGTAACGGGTTCGTCTTTGACTTACAATGTCCCAGTAAACGGAATTATGACCTAAACTTATGCAAACTTTGTCGGTGATACAGGTGCATGTTCTTGGTCTTGTTGTGCGAGCCCCTACATACAACAGTTAATGTAATCTTGCTCGACTACTTCTAGTCGATGTTGGAATGTGACTTGTCCCGAATGAGCATGGTATTACTAGCATAAACGGTGTTAATCTCGCACCTACCAACTTACCTTAGGATTCAGTGTCATTTAGCTCACTTTTATTTCCGTGAAGACAGGTGGATTACGTTTAGAGAAAAGTGAATTCTTACTTTTGTCGACCGTCTTAATTCTGGCGATGGATAATCGTTATGGTTATCAAATTCAGCAGGCACATCCTAATCTGTATCATATAAGGTAAATGTAACTCAACACTACAGTATTCATTCTACGAGCTACACTTATTGTGTAGGTGCTTATGATAGTACTCATTTACTGCGTTGGAAGTGGCTTGAATGGGTGTTTAAACTACAGAGCGCCCGAGCCACACCTGTCCTGTGGCGGAAATATCATATGATGTGACTTACTACCAGTTGTGGCGTTGAGTGGTTGGCTGAGTAACGTTAGGGCTAGCTTCTCACGATGGTCCTGTTGGCACAGCAAGTGGCCTGGCTTGTAAACGACTTTGTTATTCCATTTATTGTGTGTGTACTCCTTCTGATATCTGATGCTTCCAAGTTTTCGAACTACAGCATACCTATGTAAATTTATTACATCATGAATCCAATCGACCAAGTTGGAAACGCGAATTCCTAATGACGGAACACTGACGTTCCTCCAATGATTGGATTTACACTCGACAGTTTCATAATATAAGCAAAGGGAAATCGAGATTTCATTTGCGTTTGCAGAGTACATGAACATGAAGACCACTGCAATCTCCTTTCAAGGCTAATAATATATCCTGTAAGTCTGGATATGTTTCTCACTGACTGTAATTTCCATAACACCATTCTTCATTGTGTGTTCATGAACTTGAGGATCCACAGTATTCACTTATCAGTAAATAAAGTAGTTTTAGTAACAGCTGAAATTACAGCCCTGAAGTGTTAAGATCCAGTCTTGTAAGCAACGAAAAACACTAGAATCTATCTAAGGAGCAATTCGATTAGTGAAAACAAACTCTGTAGACGTTTATGAAGAATGTAGAGAACTTTTATAGCATTAGAATAAAGCTATGGTATAATCAACAATACAGAAACTTACGACGAAAGTATTGGCATTAAGCATGGCATCGATACTAGTGGCTTTCTCAATGTTTCATATTCATGAAGTCTTGCTACATCTGTTAGCTACTGGCCAGTTTGCTTATTTTGATCCGTAACCTATCTATGAACTCTTCAAAAGGAAAGGCAAATCGGTGTTTTATTTTGCCTTACATCATCTACTGGATATGCAAGTGCTTCCATACTTCACCATATTTACGCAAAGTTGTTTCCAAAGTACTTCAGGTACCTTCATGCGGCATCCAGAAATACTTGGTGAAACTTTAGGCTTCTCAATATGTGGACACAGACTGACTAGACGGAAAGAATCCTACGTACAACAGAGACTGCCTAGCTTCCATATCCTAACACTCGGTAGTCGGTCGGCCCTGCCGTAGTCGTATCCAATTCGTGCAGAGGAACCTTTGTCAGGTTGTAAAAATGTATCGTGTATAGTACTTCCTAATTTGACTGGTCGTACATGGATAAGTCATCGATATTCAACTGTACTACATTGTCATGAAAAGTATCTCAGGACAGTTGTCCAAAATGCATTGCAGATTCTCCAGACCAGCATAAAATCCTGAAGGTATCGCAGGCTCTTATGATTTAACCCCGCTGAAATGTTATTTTGCAGGGCTACTTACACTGCCAGAGATTTTACAACTCATCAGTAAATCATCCGAAGTAGCAGCTTGCCAAATGAAATGCTGTTTTAAGCAAATTAATGTTCTTCATTAAATTAACGTTGATTACTGATAGATCAGTCAACTAGGCAACAATGACCAGCAAGGCGATTTGTTACCTTCAAGAAACATTGCAGCTGCATTACAAAAATTGGCGGTAAATTAGGCAGTCTGGAATCCCTGGATAATACTTTTTAGATGCAAAATGTGTCGTCACTACCATGTTAATTCTGCTATTGATGATCCCATTCTAACCAATGGAAAATAACCAGTATTTTACATCAGGAACACATGACTCAATTATTGAGTCAAAAATTGAAGAAAAAGGAATAAAGATCACGCGCTTGTAGTTAAGCGCTGTTTTCATTGATATAATACATGCATTTACTAAGAGCTATCAAAACATCGGGTGATAAAATTCGATAGAATGCATACGGTCATTAAGTTTCGGTTTTAATTTAATTTGGGGCAATTTTAAAAGACGATAAACTTCCACTGGGTTGAACAATGAGTTATCTTTTTCGTAACCTTCACACAGACGGATACAGGCAAAATGGGGTTGCACATGGTATACTTGAACAAACAATTTATATGAGATTAAGAGATTCATGCTGCCTTTTACGAATTTTCCTGGTGTGTCATTACGAGAATTAGTTTCTTAATGAAGCAAGAAAAGTAGGTGACAGTAAAATCCCTGGGTATCGTAGGGAAACGTGCTGCCGTAGCCAGCAAGTGAAATATGTTGAATCATAGGTTGGAGACTCTGCGGGATATGAAGTGGGCTTATGAAAGATGAGATACATGTTTTCTGCTGGTCTGAGGTGTATAGGAAGGTGTAGACTCCCTGATTGGAGTCCTCAAGATTATAGGGATCAATGGCTGGAGAAGTGTCGTGACATACTTGAAAGTCACAATGACGCAAATGTATTTGCTGTTCAACATCTTCGAAGGTTTGGACATTCTCCAAGTTTCATGTTTGCTGAATTTCACTTACAGATCAAATGTACCCAAATCTAATCCTGATATGTTTAGCATGGAAAATAATGAGAAAAACAAGAAAAGTTTCATCGCATACTTCTGAAGCGGCATCAAACTCCTCCATGTGCCTGCACGTTTTTTCAAAAGAAAATTATGAAACCGACTCTATGTAGTCACTCAGCATGTTCTCTCTGTCATGTGGAGTACGCTGAAGCTATGAATTTACATTTTTTGGCGCAGTGTTGGTGAGACAAATCACTATGGACCTGCAACAATACCGTTCGCACAATTGGTCTCCTAAGAACTGCATTATCCCCAAGCTCAGTTACTTTGCCCCAATTCTATTTCTTGTATCTCTTGATTGTAAAACTCAACGTCGCTAATATGCATATAAGTCTATTGTTACTTCGTAACTTATTTTCATTTATTTCATCACTTACCTGAAACCTATGTCCCATAAGGAAGATTCATTGCCTGACGTAACTACATGTTCCTCATGTTAAGTTTCACACTGTAAACGTTTGCAGCTTCGTCGCCCCGGGAGTTGCACATGTGTACAGCTAGTCCAAAAACCTTTGCTTTAATGCTACAGTAGTGTCTAAAGAGTATACTTACTCAGATTAATAATCAATTTCTCTAATCATACTACTGTTGTTATGACTTTCAAAAAATGAATACTCACCATTAGTTTTGCTACCATTACTTTGGACCTCAACACAAAGATTTCGAAATCCAGATTTCATTATATTTGTACCTCTGGTACTGAAAATACAAATCTACAGCTTTTGTGCATTCAAAAAAAATGATATTCGCTATGCATTCAACTGATTTTTTCTCTTTGGGATCGGACTATGCTAAATTAAAATTGATCTTTTATGACTGTTTTGTGGATTGTGTTTGTCATTTGGATCTAAAATAACTTGTAAAATATCTTTTTCAGCACTCAAATCCGATATGGTCAAAATCACCCACTTGATATTTGATGTTGATGGACTTATTTTGGATACAGAATCTGTATACACTGAATTCACGTCAAAGTTCTTACAACCGTACAATTTAAAATTTGACTATGGCATCAAAAAGTTGTTGATGGGAAGAAAACCACAAGAAGCTGCTGAGATACTCATAAAGGAATGTAACCTACCCATAAGTGCTGATGAATTTGTTGAAAAACAGTCTAATTACATTACTCCAGAGAGATGGAAGTCTGTTAAGTGCTTACCAGGTGCAGAAAAAGTTATTAATCATCTCGCTTCATATAACTTTCCTATGGCACTAGCTACTGGTTGTTGCAGTTATGAACTTGATCAAAAAATGACCAACCACCAAGGGATTATGTCTAAAATGTCTCATACTGTTTGTTCTGGCGATGATTACACTGTAAGTAACTCGAATTCACTGAGTACCTCAAAATTTGTTATCTACTCAGTTTTATTCACTCTTCAGTGTCTTTTAGTGCTTCATCAGTTTTGGTAACCTTGATTTTCAAATGACTTATCTTCTCATACCCCTTTTTGTCTGCTTTGATATTAGTCTTTCTCATACACTTACTCTTGGCATACTAGTGTGAATTGTGGCGAATTGAACCGGTGTGCTTCTGTGCGGAGGTTCTGCGTTGATTTTATTTGTTTGTACTAAATATTATGCATATTCAAAAAACATGGTATTCATCTACATCAATAGTTCAACACCAAACTTTGAATGTTTTGTGGTCAAACTAGATAACTCTGTGACCATCATCTTAAGGCAACTGCCGATGAAGTCATCGATTTTACCTGTGAATTGTTAGGAATTATTAAACAAGCACCACCCGTTCGGATCTATACATGCTGTATACTCTGCTATTTCTTATCTAATTGGTACTGGTGTTATGTTTATACTAAAGCCTGGACATTTTGATCTAACATTTTTTTTGTGTGTGTGTAAGTTTGCTGCTTGAGCATGTGACAGTGGAAACTCGTAGTTATAGGCCTAAGTGGAGATGTGGCCAACTGACTTAAGCATTTGACTTCCATACAGTGAGACCCGTATTCAATACTAAGTTCACCTACATCACTCCGGTAGTATCTTAGACCTTCACTCAATGTCTCAGCCTAACACGTTAACTTAGACCAAAATTTGGGCATATGTGTTTAGTTTATGTCCATGAAATTAGAGGCTTACGCATAAACCTCTCATTCCTTAAGAATTAGAGCTTATTCCATCAATTTGGTCAGCTAGGTGGTACAATCTTTCCGTAGCATTGATATGGATTGCATTCCGCAACATAAACTCATATGCTATTCAGAAAGTGTCATTATTTTCGCTGTATGGACTTCTGCATCTTTCTTGGATTCATTATTATATCAGATTGTGTTTATGTGTCTGTCTCTCAGTTTTTAGTTCTGTTACGTCTCTTCACTTAAAAGGTATTTGATTTCATTGTGGTTGACGCATTTTCCCACAAATTTTTATTGGTTCTGATTTTAGATTAAAAGTGGCAAACCTAAGCCAGATATCTTTTTGGCTGCTGCCAACAGGTTTCAAACTCCTCCAGCTCACTTAGATGAAGTTCTAGTATTTGAAGATTCTCCGAATGGAGTCGAGGCTGCACTGTCAGCCGGAATGCATGTTGTTTGGATTCCTGACCCAAGAGAACCACCTGGGATTTCTTTGAAGTCAATTTCACCCTCTGATGTCTCACGTGTAACTAGGCTGAATAGTTTGTGTGAATTTAAACCGGAACAATTCGGTCTCCCCGCATTCGAAGATTCTTTGTAGATGACCACTATTCATATTTCAATAAAGTGTCTGAAAATTAGTCTCATTCTCATTCCCTTTGGTTCAATGTTTTGACGCTAATTCACTTACTGCCAGCATACATGTTTTGTTATTTTCTTTCTAAACGGTTTTCAGTTTCATGGCGTTTTGTGTAATATTGACTCTAGAACATGTTAGATACGAAAAATCCTTGCGTACATTTCAGTGGACATTCTAATGCTTGTTTTCAGTCAGTCACTCAATCAGCATCAAATTGCGTGTAACGACCCAAGTTACCACGCCTCATATCGCACGTCAAGGTAGGAGGCATCAAGATGAAAGATGAAGAAGTGAGGAAGAAAGTATTCCAAAGGTGGATAAACATAAAGAGCGATAGGAAAATAGCAAAGTTCGATAATGACTATTCAAATCCAGATAATGTGTAGGTGCATCTGCACCATTGAGGTAGATTCTGAGCCATATCACCAAGTCTCCAACCATCAGTTTTTTTTTGTCATGCGGAGCCCAACCGGCAACTCTGTATACCTCTATACAGCTGAGACCAACAACCAGAGATTTCAAGAACTGATGCTATGCTTTATTTTAGCCACCACTGAGCAGACGGTAACTAGGTGTGCGTGACCTATGTTTCTTGCGTCTGAATCGATGGGCGTTCTGAACTTTATTAACTGAATTTTCTCTCTCACTTGAATATATTTGTTATTTGCAGTATCTTGTGGGCATCTCTCCCGTAGTTGGAATATCAAGTTGTTGTGTCCCGCTGTGTTTTTCAAAACTTCACTCTATAAAAAAAATTAACCCCGTTAGTTATTGTGTCTTCCCTGCCTTATACAAAAAATACAATTTAACAACAGAGTGACTGCTTCTAGATTAGTTTAATTGTTACTTCGTTTATTGACAACTTTTAAGCTTCGTGCTTTATTCTATACAGCTTTATTAACACTGGCTCTCCTGTGAAAGTTTGTCGAGCCCAGTTATCTGACTCCAAATCTATGTACAGTTCCTGAAATACTATTGCCGCCTTTCTTATTATCCCCGACACTGCTAATCCATCAGCCATAGACAGTGTAAATAGCAAGAGACAACGCGGAGTATAATTTTGGATGTTGAATTGATAGACAAGCCGACAAAAATTAAAAACAAGTACAAGTTAACAAATGTTCAGTTATGAAGTATTAAATATACCAACAAAGCAATATGAAATATATGCTACAAGTGTGCTACTAATTTGTATGCTTCAACTAATATATATATATATATATATATATATATATATATATATATATATATATATATATATATATATATATATATATATATATATATATATATATATATTCGTTGCTTCGAATAATCAACAATACTTCTGCTAGTAATTTAAAACAAAGATGTTTCAGATCGGGTCACTGTGGAGATATTTCGGTACTGGTGGAAAACTAATTTTCTCACAAGTAACATGTCATAAAGCACTTTTTGATGACCAATTGGACATCGAGACTGTTTGATTGAACAGAAATCAAAAATTAAGGGGATGAGATCTTTAATCATCAGAGAAATATTTACTTCCAGCGACTTGATTTTAAAGCTGTTTGTTATTGGCAAAATTTCATGCAGTTGCAGTAAGAGGTTACACACACACTATACACATGATGTAATTAGTGAGCAACTTTAAGAGCCACCCTAGAAACTGCTGGTTAGCCAATCAGATCTCAGTATTCCTGCTAGAATGGTAGTTTTTCATAAAATACAGAAGCCTAGTTAGTTATCTCAGTAGTTGCTAGATGGGCGTTTACAGTCACTCGCAGTTGGTGATAGTGAAGGGGTTTAGTGCAAGTAGAGAAAATCCAAAAGTAGTTAAGAAGTAAAGCATTGGTCATGTGCTGTTAGGAGAGTGTAAAACGGTAATGATGATCAACAAAGTGGAATATACAAATTGAAGTGTAGTAAAATTATGCATAAATACTAGGAAAATACATTTTCAGAGTAGTTCAACTAAGCTCTGTTAATTAACTCAAGAGATTGAGTCATGACGAACTGAACGGTCTTAGTCCATTACGTGTTCACATACGGATGAAGTTGTTCTTCTCTGTTTGCCTAATTAAATCAGGTAGTGTTTCCGGAGGACTTGATTTCAATGTTGAGTGTAGTCAGCTCCCCATTAGCATGTGAATGTGTCGATGGGACTGGTTAACAGTACGACTATTAGTTAAGTCAAATAAAGGGAGTCTATGACCCCTGAAGCCTCTGATTGTATTCCTGTCGTGATTTGGTTTTTCCTTCGAATCCCACTATGATCTAGTTAGAAACGATGGTATTCACTGGAAGTGTTCTAATTTTCTGTCTATGGTTTATATTTTCTAACCCTTATGAAAGCTCTTTTGACTGGATACGAAATCTAACCGTACCTTATTTAACTGTAGTACATTGTTTCAAGTAAAAAGGTTACATCAAAACTTATCAACTTCATCATTGTAAATAAACAGTTATTTCATCCTTGCAATTATGCATGTGTTATTGTCTTCATTACTATTATTACTTACATAACTTAACTGCTACAATGATTTCCATTAAAACGTGAAAGTGACCATTTTCGTTGCAATATTACATTACTATAGATTCCAAACCGTATCGGAAATATTGTCTGGAATAAAATAGTACTTATTCTATCTTGATATAAGTCCCTTGATAATTCAAAAACACTGACTGCCAAGTAATCATCAGTGGAGCACTTTGCATCCAGTTCTGATTATCAGTTAGTCGAGGAAATGTTCACTTGATGAAGTAGTCTATAAACTCAATCACAGTTATTGAGATGTAGACTCAAGTTCTTACATGTACTAAGGTTAACTACCATTCAGTACATCTATATGTAAAAATGATGTATTTACACCTGAAAGTCGAATGAATTCAGTTAGTCACCTTTATTTTGTGTTGTAAATGTATTTCCTTAACATTTACCTGATTTTCAGTGACACTGACAAGTGGAGATCCACTCATATTCGTATCAACAAAATATAGTGAGAGATGAGAAACACTTTGACACAACCATGGACGATGAAACCAAATGGATTATTCATCACTGAATGTACCGGACAAGTCTTTAAGTAAACATTTGAACGGAGAATTTGTGTGTTTTGCGCCGGTGAGTTTGGGAGCCCACATTCACGCTGAGATTAATCTACCAATCAGGTCAGAGGAGATTTCACTTTACCTCACTTATGTTATAATTATTCGCCAGAATTTGACCTTGTGCAACGGGGATACCCGTTGCACAAAAGGTGGCTCTCATCCCCTAGTGGACATCGCTTTGGCGTTTAAAGCGATAGGTACAAGGTTCGAGTCTCAGTCGGAAAAACACCACTCAATGGGGTGCAAGTACATCCAGCTAACGTTTCCGAACTAGAACGAAACTGGCATCCTAGATCCCACTGCTAGTCACCAACATGGTACACTTCTATTTATGTTGAACATAATCTTCCAAGCCTATGACATAAAGCATGTTATTTCCCATATAATATCCCATTTCAGTTTGTACTGACTATGGAGTTGGATAAAGTCAGTTGGTTTTCAGTTGAACACTTATGGATCTTTTTTTCACACAGTAATACCATTTATACGTTAACAGTCAGTTGTGTTAAAAAAAAAGAAACATTGCTGCGGAAATATCTCACTGTTGTGTGCACATTATGAATCTCACTATTCTGTTCCGTATATCTCGTTGTATGCCGAGACTGTTGTGTTGCTTGGGGTTAATGTGCCTCATATAATGATATTTTTACCCGCGATGTTGTCATCAGAATTGACGATAACTAGTAATTTGAGCCAGGGATGCTAACCATCACCATTCCTATTAAACTTCGTTATGAATACACTAATGGGCATAACCTTAAGTACGTCTGACTTCACAGGGATTGATCTACTCCCTGGCAGTTATCACGTTGACTTGGAGTATTCAAACGATATTGTCCTGCCAGATGAAAACGCTGACGAAATGCAGGATCTTTTGGACTCATTGAGCAGAAATCCACGTTTTTTGGTGTGCGTCTGTCTGGCACCTGTTAAATTTAAGATGGTGCTCCAGGACTAGTCTGCAACCACTTCTAGTTTAATGATAGGGAGTGAAGTAGTGGAATGTGTCAACCACTTCATTACTCAAGGAGTCGCATCAGACCGAATGCCCTGTTTATTGACGAAACTTCAGCTCGGATAGTGAAGGCCTATTATTATTATTATTATTATTATTATTATTATTATTATTATTATTCCCTTGGGTTCCTAGTGGAACATAGGGCTTCAGTAGCACGTCACCATTCCACTCCCTTCTCTTCAGTCTTTTGAACCTGGCACTATGACTGCCCACAAGCTTTCATTTCTTCCTTACATGATCTCCCTGTTACCCTCACACCCACAACTCGTCGTTTCCCATGTGGGTTCCACTGGAGTGCCTGGTGCGTGATGTCTCCGAATGGTCTCAGTTTAGGCCCGTTCCATCTTCACTTTCCTCTTCCCCACATTCGTTGGGCGATGGGTTCTTGGTTGGTTCGTTGACAGCCAGCTAGCCAGAGTTCCTTATTGCTTATTCTTCCAGGTCATCTTATCTTCAGCATCAAGCGTAAGCAGCTGTTGAGGAATGTTAGTAGTGTATTGGAAATGCTTTTCGTGACACTCCAATTTTGTGAACCATCACATAGCAACTCTGACTTGACTGAATTGGTGTTAAAAATCCAGGTCTTGCTGTTTGTGCTGAGTGCAGTTGAACTTCACACTGATTTCAGATTAATGAATACCTGTCTTGCTGTCTTTCCAATCCTGGTTTTGACACCCTCGTCTGTGCCGCTGCCTGTAGTTGAAACGATGCTGCCTAGGTGGTGGGTGAAAGAGACTACTTCCTTTAGATTTCTCCCGTTAATGGTGATTGGTGCTTGTTGTTGATGCTGTTGTTGGTTTGGTATCTTCATCACCTCCGTCTTATTCACACTCACTTGAAGTCCCGTTTTTGC